AGGAAAGGTGAAGAGGTGCGGGGGCAGTTGATGCCGAGAACAGGTGGTTAGAGGAAAGAAGGACAGAAGGAAACAAAACATATATTTGATTCCCCAATAATCAACATCCTCTCTTTAGTAGCTTGCAGAGATACTCCTAGGCAACAATCATCACACTGTTACTGGTTCATTAACCAACAATTTCAATGTAAATGGGACGCTGGACCCGTTTTCCAGCAGGTGAAGCTCCCCACCAATAGATGGAGCCTCCCTGGGAATGCTAGAGGCGTCTGCTCTTATCAGCTCCCCTAGCATCAGCCCGGGTATGTTTAAAAAAAAAATAAAAAAAATAAAAAAAAATGCGAAATTTGCAAAGTCATTATCACTGTGTATTTGCAGCCCGTCAGGGTTGCGTTTTATACACCTGAGTTGACGGGTTGCCTTTTAACCCCTACAAGCTTTCAACGTTCAATTTAACGTCAGGGGCGTTTTTGGTTTCGCGGGGGAGACGCAGCGCACCAGGTGGAATGGAAAGGGTAAGTACTTGTGGTATGGGCCAAGACTGTGCTCTCACGGTAAGTAAGTTCTAAATGTGGTCACTTATGAATGTGGATGCATTTCAGTCCGTGCTATTCCCGCTTCGCTCGTCACAACCAAAATAATCAACCCTCTTTGGTTTCTTCTCCCCTCTCTTCTATAGTCTTCCCCCGAATATAACGAATGGACAATAAAATGGTACGTCGGGAAACTTCAGTCTAATGATAACGATGCTCTCTGTCTTTCTTCCCCCGCCCCCCCCATAGACACACGCGCACAGACATGCGCGCACACACACGAACTTAGAGTTGTGTATAGCGGATGTGACAAAACATAAAACCAGCATAATCACTACCTTACCCTTCCCCAACCAGTGGCAACCACATCAACAAACAAACTATGGGTTGAGTACCCGTGCCCCTCACGGTAAGTCAATCAACTTTCGTCGTTTGGTCATACCGGCCGCCCGTTCGGGTCTTAAATGACAGTTGGAAGGGTGGTGAATTTGATGCGGGGAGCAATTCATGGGGAACAGGCTGTTGCTGCTTGCAAAGGACCGGTAGCTGCCTGTAGGAGCCCGAGGAGGCCGAGGTCCTTGAATTGAGCATTTCGAAATCAAAACGGCATGGGTCCACTATTTTTTGAATTGAAGGGCACTTCGAATAGACCACATACATGTTGTATTCGAATACAAAGTGTGTCCTTTCTATTCGAATTTCAAGAAGCGACGACAATTTAACCCATTTTTCATTTTTGCTATTCAATGCCTCTCTCTCTTTCATTGGTAGCCCCCCCCCCCTCTCTCTCTCTCTTGTGCATTGTCGCACTTTTCCCCAGTCAGACCATTTTTGCCGACTTGAAAAACAGCAGGCTGTCACACAAGATTTTTATGATTTTGCAATAAAAAAATACTTAAGTAAAGAAGAAGAACTCTCTCTCTCTCATATGCCAGGTACTAACCTGTGAAGGTGGCGCTGTGCTACAGGTACCTTGAAGACGAAGCTGGAGCGATGGCGCTGCAGGTAAGTCCCTCTGGCCTCCGCCCAATCTCTCTCCCTATAGTACTACTCTAGCTATGGCACCCAGCGCTGAAGACTACAGCTAACGCTACTAGCGCCCAGTGTTGAAGACTACTGCTAACGCTACTACTACTCCTGCAGCGCTCCTCCAGAGTGCTGCTGCCGAATCCTGAAGACTACCTCCTACCTCCTGAACTGCACGTGAAGTACCTGGGAAGTACCTAGGAACTACCTTCGGCCTGCAGGGCGGGCCAGTCCTATATAGTGCTGGCCCGTCCAGGAGGCTGCTCTTGCCAATGCCTCAACGTGCCAGACCCTGGGGTTGAAACTCAAACAAAGGTTGTCTTGAAAATAGGTCAGAAATGGCCTGAGCTAAAACCCTGGTTTGGTGCCTGAGTTTCGGGGCAGGCCTAACTCATGAGGGCCCGAAAATGGCCCTCAGTTTCAGGCTGAAAACACTCAGGGCCGGAAAGGCCCTAATTTAGCCTGAAACGACACAGGGCTTGTAGGCCCTTGTTTTCAGGCTTTCAGGCTGAAACGACACAGGGCCTGTAGGCCCTTGTTTTCAGGCTTTTGGCCTGAAAACGTCACGGGTCTGGAAATGGCCCGTGCAGCCTGTTGCAGCAGGCGCAACATGTAACACCCCCCCTCCTTATGAAGTCAAGCTGGGGCGAGAGCGAAGCTGACGATCTGAAGGTGGAACGTGGATGTGGGTGCGACGTGGAGCCGAAGATACTAGCCTGCCTTGCATCTTGCGTTCGTAGCGTGCGAGAACATCCGAAGCTGATGCTTGGAGTTTCGCACGGGTTAACCAACGGTCAACTTGATGACTGCAGTACGCAAAGTGTACCAAGTACTCGGTTGGCTTGTTGTCGTGGCATCGTTGGGAAATGTTGTTGCCGACCTCTTGAAAGACCGGCCCTGAGGCTTGCGATCGTCGTCCGAGAAAATCGTCATGTTCAGTTGGCGTGTAGAGAGCCAACTTGGAGCAATGAAGACCGGGTAGACGGGCAAGTGGGCGGGCACCTGAATGGTGAAGGAAGGTCCTTCGGGTGTATCCCCGACGGGTGCCATGATCGGCCAAGGCCCATCCATTTCGGGAGGAGCTTGTGAGAGATATCTTGTTCAAGGCTGAATTCCGTGGCGGAAACCCAAACGAGATCGTCGGCGCGGAATCGGCAAGGAAGACGCTGGCGATTGGCCTGTTGGCTCATGCGTTGCTGCATCTTGGCCATCTGGTCATGTGCCTTGACAAGTAGCTCTTGCATCCATCACAAGAAAAAAAGATGGTCGTTGCTCCCGGCCATTTGTGGAATGATTGTGTCCAATGAAGAAGTGACTGGTGAGCTGTGCTCGAACTCGAAGGGCGACATCCCCATAGCCGGGTGGATGGACGAGTTGTATGCCAACTCGACATCCGGCAGCCGCTCAACCTAATCTTTCTGGTCGGGACGGATGAGAGTGCGAAGGAGAATCTGTGCGGTCTGATGCGCCCTCTCCGTTTGGCCATTGGATTGGGGGTGGCAAGCCGAACTTGGCTTGAGAGATGAGCCCCATTGTTTGATGAGCGTCAACCCAAAATTGGACATGAACCGAGTGTCGCAGTCGCAGACGATTTCCTTGGGGTAACCCTTGGTTCGAATCCAACCGGCGTAAAGAACCTCGGCCAACTCCGGTGCCTTGGCATGATAGCGGCAAGGCAAAAACATGGCGAACTTGGTGAGTCGGTCGACCACCGTGAGAATCCCATCCACTCTAGTCTTGTGCTTGGGGAACAGACCGGTAATGTCCATGGCAATCGCTGCCCTTCGTCGCAAGGGTACCGGTAAGGGTCGCAACTCGCCGTACGAACGATGATTGCGGGATTTGCAACGTCGGCAAACCTCGCATGACTCGCAATAGCGTGTGACGTCGCCGAGAAGACCGAGCCACCAAAAGCGCTCGCGGAGTCGGCCAATCGTACGACTGACTCCAAAGTGTCCAGTGGCGGGAGCGTCGTGGAACTCGCCAAGAAGCCGGGTGCGCAAGTGTAAATCTCGTGGCACACAAAGAAGATTCTTCCCTCGCGAGTGGACGAGCAAGTACCCCTCTTGGATCCAATAGTGCGCTAGCGCCGGATTAGGGGAGGAGCAATTTGCATACTTGTCGCAAAACTCGGGGTCGACTTGGTAGCCGCGGCTAAAGCTGTCACGCAAGTCGTCGTTAATCTCAAAAGTTGAGTAGACTGCGGTACAATGGTCCGGACGCCGTGAAAGAGCATCCGCAAAACGGTTTGACTTGCCCGAAATGTGGTCGGGGAAGGAGTCAAATTGGTCGATGAAGGCCATCCAACGGGCAATGGTGCTATTGACCGTGTCTTGGGTCTTGTAGAAGACCAAGGGATTGTTATCGGTTACCCATCGGAACTGTCGTCGACCGAGAAGAAAATGCCGCCGGCGCTTGAGCGCGTGTACGAAGGCCAATAATTCCTTCTTCAGACTTCCGTGCGTCGTCAATCGAGTGCACAACGGGCACTTTCTTGCTAAAGTATTCGATTGGGTGTCAGTTCACACCGTCATGTTGCTTGAGGACGGCACCAATGCCATAGCCAGATGCATCAGAAGTGACACGTGTCGGCAAAAGTGGATCGTAGATGCGCAACACCTCCACGGATAGCAATGCGGCTTTGACAACCAAAAAGAAAGTCCGCGCATTGTCGTCGAAGTCGAATGGTCGGTCCTTGCATTGAAGCTTGGATAAAGGAGCCGCGATCTTCGAGTATCCCTTGATGAAGCGTTGATAGTAGCCAGCTAAGCCAAGGAAGGAACGGACATTTGTGACGGTCTTCGGCTCCGGCCACTCTTGGATGGCTTGAATCTTGTCCGACAACGGACTGATGCCCTCCGGTGTGACAAAATGGCCCAAGTATTCTAGCTCTTGTCGGACAAATTCGCACTTGTCGCGGTTGACTTTGTACTTGGCGCGGCGGAGCGTCTCCAACACTCGTCGAAGGTGCTCAAGATGATCCTCCAATGTCTGGCTATAGACGAGAATGTCGTCTAAGTAGACTAATACGAACCGGGCCAGCATCGCACGAAACTCGTTGGTCATTGCCACTTGAAAGGTCGTCGAGACATTGGTGAGGCCAAAAGGTATAACGATCCACTCAAAATGCCCGTACCGCGTCTTGAACACGGATTTGTAGCAATCTTGTGGGCGTATCGAGATTTGATGGTAGCCCGACTTCAAGTCCAACTTTGAGAAGAATTTCACGCCGTCCAAACGCTCGAGAAGGCCGTCAATCTGCGGAAGAGGTCCCACATTCTTGACGGTTTGTGCGTTGAGCTTGCGGGAGTCGATGCATAAACGAAAATCCTTGTTCTTCTTTCGTACGAAGAGAACTGGCGCACCGTATGGTGATCTACTAGGGCGGATCCAACCCTTGTCCAAAAGATCGTCGATTGAGCGCGGAGAACCGCGAGCTCTTCCTCGCTCATGCGATAGATGCATCCTTTCGGCGGCACGGCACCGGCCTCAAGAATGATCTCGTCGGAGATCGGCCGATCGGGCACCACACCGGTAGGAGACTCGAAGATATCGGTGAACTCGTCGAGCAGCTGCACCACTCGGGGGTCCGAAGACAAGTCCGTAGGTGAAGATTCTGTCGTCGCGGCACCTCGTAGAAAACATAGGCCTATCTCGTCGGTCCGCTCGTAAGCGCAAGTGGCCCGAAAAGACTTGGCTGTTACAACTTGGCACTGGATCGAGGAGTGCAGAAGAGGAATGGCACGCGGTACTCGGCGCCGAAGGCGTCGGGAACGGTAAGTGTCTGCTGATGGAAGTTAACCGTGTGATCCGCACTTGCAAGCCAAGGCATCCCCAAAATGATATCGAAGTCTGTGTCCAAGACGTCATACGTCACTGGTTCGCATGCATGAGGCGCGAAATAAACCGGCACGGCTTCAATGTAGCGATCGAGGAGTTGTTGCGTCCGACCGTCCGCCAACTTAATCGCTGTCGGGTTTGGCTTCCTGCGAACTTGAGCGCCAAGCCCGGCCCTTTGGATAAAGGACTGGTTGATGAAATTGCGAGTCGCGCCGCTATCTAGCAAAGCGCTGCAAGACGCTTGCCCAACTTGGATGCGGACATCAAGGACCGGTGCATTGTTATCATCGTACCGCTGCATGCAAAACTTGCGGGCCACCTTGGTAACATACGCAAGGATGTCCCCCACCGCAGCTTCGTCATCCGTCGGCGAAGATGGTGGTGCATAGAAGGCTCAATATGTGTGGAGATGGGTGCATAGTGCTGCGCATTGCAGTCCCGACAAGCAGCCTGTGGAAGGGAGAGGAAGCCATGCAAAATCCTCGGACGTCAACGGGTCCAAGATCTCTATGTTGAACTCGTGCGTCGAATCCCTTGAAGAACCACTTGAAGACGATCCATTGTTGCTGTTGCCGAACGGAGAAGAAGCCGCACACACATCTTGTCCTTGAGCTTGAGAACCCAGCGAAGGAATGAGTCGGGCAGCATAGCCCTCATTAGAATACAAGAGAGGACTGTCGACTTCCACATGTGCCTTGGAATGAAGAGAGGTCGCTCACGAAGCAACCGATTCCGAAGGCGTCGAGAGTGCAGCTGCATCACTCTCGGCGATGCTCACTTTCCCGAAGGGAATTTGCCTTTGACTTGCGTGGGGCACGTTGCGGTGTTGTGCACCGCGCTGTTACACCACAAGCAATATCGGTACTTAGTACGGATGCAGTACACGCCTTCCGAGATACCGTAATCTGTCCAAGGCTCTTGAGCCGCTGGTCCGGCCCCGGGGGCTGAATTGGTGTGTGTCTTCGGTTTGCCGCGTCCTCCCCCTCTGGCGGGGCGGCCACCATCCCGGGCGGCTGCCAATCTGTCTCCTTCCTCAGAACAGGCATTCTCGTTTGAAGGGTCAATCGCTGTAGTTGCTGCGACCACGGCCACTTTCGACCGATGTTGTCCTCTGCCCTGGCCTGCAGCAGACGAATGGCCCAAATTCTTGGCTTCGATATTCGTCACGATGATTTGCGAGGCTTTATAAAAAAGCTGCTCACTTGTGGTGAGCGTCTCCGCAACTTGCGTCAAGGCGTTCTGCAACGCCGGACAACTCCTCCTGATGAAAAAGTGCTTGATAGCGATAAATGTCGACGACAAGTTGGGCGTGGATGCCAAGCGTTGGTACTCGGTTATCCAGTCCGTGCTTGGCAGGTCGTTCTGATAGAACCGTTGAAGTTTCTCGGCTGCCTGAAGCTCGGGCGGCTCCACTTGGAACCGCTTATGCCATGCTGCCTTGAGATCAACCCAGCTGATCTTCGTATGCAGCTCCGAGACTGTTACATTGTGCGTGGACAACATGTTGTCCAGCCATGCCTGGCACGCGCGTCCCGAGCGGGAGTATAAGTATGCGTGCCGGTTCGGGTTGATGAAGTGGTGAATGTCCAACTTAAACTCGAACTGGCGCCACGATGGGATCGGGTCTGTCTTCGTTGCATCACAAAAGATCGGTAGTCCGTCAAACTTTGGGATGCTCTCGCGAGTAGTCGTGGTCTGACTGGCTGTGGCGGCACAAATCTGCTGGTCAATCCGCTGATTTGTCGCTAGAGCGCCGTCCTTGAGAGTCTCGACGTCGATTTCCAAGACGTTGACGCGGTTCATCAAGTTGAAGGGTCCGGCGGGGGTGGCTGTTGCAAGCTGCTATTCCAGTCGGCGTACCCGGTCAAGCAGTTCATCAATAATTCGAGTCTGCTTCCGGACCAGGGTGTTCACGCAGAGGATGTCCTCTTGCTGTGCTGCACAGGTGGCGACCAAATCGCTCACATGTTCGATTGTGGTTGCAAGGCCACACACAGCAGAGGGGGCACCCTCCTCTTCAGCAGCCACTGCCCATTCGCCGGCGATCACCTCGATGTCCCCCTCACATTCGAGGAGTTTGTGTCGGCGTAGTCGACGGCGTTCATCTGCGGCCTTCCTTGCTGCCTCAGCGCCCTCCTGTCGCTGCTGTTCAGCGAGGCGACGTTGTTCCTCTGCGTCTTCATCTTCCTTCTTACGTGCGGATGTTGCCACAGCTGCCCGTTGCTTGAATTCTGCTACCATGTCCAGCATGCGGGCTTCATGGGCCTCGGTAGTCTCGCCTGGCCGTTGATCCATGCCGCTTGTCTTTGAGCGGGTGAGCACCATGCATTGACGTGACCTGCTGCTGTGGTGACTGGTTGCTGACGTGGCACTGCTGCCGTGTCCTGCTGACGTGGCCTGCTGACATGGCAACTCACCAATGCCACCGCAGGGGGTACCCGGAGGGAGATAGAGAGAACACCAGAGGGGCCAACAACATAGGTGGGGAGGGGTGGGATAAATTGCCCAGATAAGGAGCCACTAATCAAAAAGAAAAGTTTGAACTTTGCAAAAAAATTCGAGAAAAAGAAAAAATAATCGTTTGCAAGTTCAGTAGGCCTCCCAAGTCCCCTGAAGTGCGAAATTATCCATGAAAAAAAATCCGAACTTTCAACCACGAATGATTTTCTGATAAAAGAATTCCGAAAATGATGTACAATTTTTTTTTTCCGGAATTACTCAGATGAGAGTACACGCAGCTGGAGAATGATAACTGCAAGAGGGATTCCCGTACCGTTTTTAAAAAAAATGGATTTCGGAATAGAAATATTCCGGATTTCCAAATAACGGGAAATTGCAAAAGGAAATCGAAATTTTCGAAAAAGAAGATATTCCGGATTTTCAACAATGAAATTTTGAATTTTCAGAAGAAAAACGAAATTGGAAATTTCCACAACAGAAATAGCGAGAAAACAAAATCCAAGAAAAGAAAAAAAAATCGATTTTCGGCAGTGAGGTCAAAATCGTGATTTTGGGGGCTAACTAGTGTGCTCTAATCAATCAATCAAAACTAATCAGCTACCTAGTCCCTGCACACGTGTCAGATCAGGTTGTCCTGATTC